TGCAAACTTCATACTTCATAGCAGAGAAATGATCAGGGCTTGTCCAGGCTTTCCTCCTGTGCGGTGTGTGGCTGGCCATAGCTAACAACCTACGGCCTTCTCCAGAGGAATTTCAGCTCCCATATTCCAAGAGAACACCTAAACTGGAAAAGCTGAGGGCTCCTCAGGACACCGTTTCTAATCATGGCTGCTTTGTGCAGCACACAGCAGCCCAGTTCCTTGCCTGCCTCCTTCTCCAGGGTCCTTCAACTCTGAGACACAGAACACTTGAATTTTTCCAAGAGCTTCATTTTCTTCCAGGAGTTCGCCTGACTGCAGAGTCCTATTTTCCCTGAGCAAGGGAAGAGGAGCCTTCAATCATCTCACAGGAAAATGATAGCATCTGCTTGGGGATTCCAAGGAGATATTTTACTGTAGCTTTTCACAAACTGATTATATTTAAAGCTCCCTTGGGGAGTGGGGGCTGGGAGGAAAAAAGCTTCAGAGAAGACCTTCGCTGGCAGGAGTGAGGAATTGCTCAGGCCTCCCAAGGGAACAAGTTGTTTAAATACCAGCAATCCACATTCCCAAATGCATGTGCACACACAATATGTCTAGAGTTTTAAATTTCATCCCCTGCTCTGAATGGGTCCTGAAAGGGTTAAATTGTTCCAGGCAAAGGCCTGAGGCTTTTCTACCAAAATGCTCTAGATGGAAATTACAAAATTTCACTTCTCAGCTCTCGTGCACACCCACTATTCTTCTAAGACATTAAAAAAAAAAAAAAAAAAAAAAAGACAAGACCCCTAATATTCTGAAAAAAGAGAATTTGACTGCTCAGCACACAGGCCACTGTTTCAGATGATTCCTCCTGGAATACTTGCATGAACTGTCAATCTCAAGCTTCCTGAGGGACTGTAAAAACTCAAGGTATGGAAAGGGTAAAGGAAAAGTGGCCTTGAAAAAAGACAGGACAATAGCTGGGGCCGTATACAGTGATATGAACCCACCTAAATACCATGCAGATTATCGCCTCTAGTAACCTTGCAACTTACCATCTTTCACTGCTCCAATCCTAAAAGAAGCTAACAAGATAGAGGCCAAAAGGCCTTGGGTTATGACCATGAATCTGACCAGGGTTGTCAGGAATTTCCAGAGATTAATGTATATGAAAGAGCTTTGTAAATTGAAAAGAGCCATGTATAAGCACTAAGAATATTATTGCTGTCAAGTCAGACATTGAGAAGCATGAACTTTCAAAGGAATCTGAACACCCACAAACCAGAAACAATGGTGGTTTTTAAGAAGGTAGCTACAAAGCAGGCAAGCCCCTCATAAAACCACATGGGGTAGAGTTGGGTCTGCAGCCTCAAAAGTCCTTCAGGGTACATGCAAGCAGGTGGTTTTAAGGGAGGCAAAAACCATGGGACCGATAGGGTCCCACACAGTCCACTAAGAGTCTACTTGATTCAAACCGTCTGACTGAAAAGCAGGACCCAGGACTGTAGTCAAATACATAGAGAACAACAGCAGCCAATGATTAGACAGTTTACCTGTTCATTTTACAGGTCTAGAGCAGTGATTTTCAACCGTTGTGCCAAAAGAATTTTTAACACCTACCATCAATACCTGACTATTTAGTCAGGGTCACTGACCTTTTTTCCCTTGGACAGTCAAATAAAAAAATGACAACAGCCAACACAAGATAGCTGTTCAGTGTGAATGAATTGAAATTATACCTATTTTTTTTTTGTCAGATCAGCAAAAAAAATATATTTTTTGGTGTGCCATAAAATTTTAGTAATTAGTTTACGTGTGCTGTGAGATGAAAAAGATTGAAAATCTCTGGTCTAGAGGGTTTAAGTAACTGGCCCAGGATCAATTTCACTGCTACTGGAGAAATTTGCTAGAACTCAAGTTTCATTCCTAGACTTGTTTCCTATCATTTAAGAGCTGGCACTTTGGGAATGAACAGGCAATACAACCTTAGAGGTCAGAGAGAGGAAAGGTTAGCTAACATAGGAGCAGACTGTGCTATTACTGAGCACTTATAAGTGCCAGATACTCTGCTAAATGATTTTTATGTACTATCTCATTGAATCCTAACAACGACCTTAGCAAAAGCACGTTATTTTCCAGGTTAGGCAACTGAAACTCATGTACAAGTCACATAAGGCCCAAGGTACAAGGCAAGCAAGTGGCAGAACTGAGATTTAAACCTGGATCCCTTAAACTCAAAAAACTTGTGCTCTTAACCACCAGACCAAAATAGCAATTTTCTTTTTTATCTTGGCATCTGTAAGAGAAGGAGCACTGACAGCACTCTGAGTCCCAGGTAACACATAAAAGGGTGAAAGTCATCATTGTGACAAGGGCTTCCAGCTAATGGGGGAGCAAAGCTAACCCAACCCAAGTCCTTTGTCTCCAAGGTCTGTGCTCTTCTACTGAGACCATGGGCTCTAGAGTGTAAGCTCCAAGTGGGAGGGGACTTTGTCTTTTTGACTGCCACATTGTCACTCCCAGAGCATATAAAAGACACTCTAGAGTTGATGAATAAAGTAATGAAGTCAATCTGCTCTGTGACCTTGGGGGGAGGGGAGGCTTTTTATCCTCCCTAAGCCTGTTTCTTCATGCAGCAAATAGAGAATGAAATAATATCCACCTCCAGGGTTGATATGAGAATTAAATGAGACAATTTTTATAAAGGGCTTGGGGCAGGCTGGAACATAATGAGCACCCAAAATGTAATCTATTATTATCATATTACTACTGTTATTTATTGACAAATTTTGGCTTTCTAAGGATTTTTTCCCCTCTACCATGGTCAGACGATGTTTCATAATAAACATCAACAGAAGAGAATAAAGAATTGTGAGTTGGTAACCTGCTTCTAGTTTCAGATCTACGAAAACCTAGCTGCATGACCTTGAGCGAGGCTCTTATTTTTCTGTACTCTCCTCAGCTATAAAATGAGGGTCTAAACTGTTCAGTTTCATAAGCATTTATTGGGCACCTTCACTGAGTAAGACATCATGTTCAGCCACCTATACAATCTAGGAATAGTGTCAATGGAAAAGTATCAGAGCAAAGCAAAACAGCCCTGTGCCTATGGCAAGGTGAAGGAGAAATCCCAAGTTGCCAACTTCCTTACACCATCTCAATGGGAAGTGTTTGTAAATACACAAAGTGTTTAATTTTGATACACTCATGAGAAATCCTTCACCATTAAGGAATCAGCAGATACACTTCTATTAACATCTATCAGCCTTGAACCTTCCAAAAAGTGAACCTGTAAAATCATTTTGCACCTTAGTCAAATGGCACTGCTGAAGAGAAATCTGGGAAAGTCAAAGTTATTCACACTCCCTATGGCAACAATTAAGAATAGGATGTGCTAAAAAAAAACACACAAAAAAACAAGAATAACATATCTGGTTAAAACTGCGGTGGGGGTGGGGAAGGGATTCCAGGAGCAGAATGCAGTGCATCTGGACAGGACACAGAGGTAGTAGCTTATTGTTTACAAAAACAGGACTGGACTATGAACAGTACAAGAGCCCCAAGACCTCAATTATAACTCACAACCACACCTCTCCCAATCTCAGTTCAACTGACGGTATCAATCAGTCAACTTCCCCATCTTCTGTAAGAAACCCACCAATATTTGCAGCCAAGTGGCTCGAAGGTCCCCCCGGCACCTCCAGCACTGACCAAGCTGATGACATTAAAAGGATCCCACAGGCACAATAGGTACTTCAAACTACCTTCCAACCTTCTAAGAGATAAGACAGCTGCCCGTTTCAAACCCTAACTCTACACCCACCCCAGACAATCATTAGAGGGGAGACATGGCCCTTTCCAAGTCTTGTGTGATAGGAAAGGTCTCCCAGCATTGGTGCAGGGAAAGAAGGAGGGGCCCCTCCCTCTGTACTCTGAAACAAAGGAAAACCCAGAGCTTCAACCATGTGGTGTAACATTGGAGGCCACCCACCTTTCCCACTCCCCAGCTGAGGAGGTCTCGATGGGCCAGAGCCACATGGCTCTTCCCAGTCATTGGCCTTGCACAAACACATGCTGGGGCTCTTACAAACAGGCAGGAACCCCTTCTATTGGAACTGCTGGTTTTAAAAAAGGCTATCTTGAACGGGCTTTGATTCACATGCCAAGTCAGGCAGTCCACTGGATGTGAAGGTCCTTTAGTTTCTCCGTCTCCACATTATGCTTTACCCTTCACATTTTTGCAAAGATAAGTGGGTTGTTAAAAGCATGTATTCTGGAGCAGAGAGTGACTATGCAGAAGGGTTAAACAATAATGTCTTCCCATCCTCCAGGATGAGCACCACCTAGCAACCCCAACATCCCAACTCCATTCAGGTTTAGGTGAGGGCGGAGACTGGGCGTGAGAGACCTTATCCTCTCTGTTCCCTGATCTCTAGCTGAATGCAGGGCAACCAGAGACCTGGCTGGCACAAGGTACACCCAAAGTGGCTACAGAGTTTCTGTGTTGGATGCCATAACAAATGTCATGTCTGGATATAGTGCATCAGGAAAAAACCCCTCTCCCAGGGCTCTCCAAAAAGTACACATTCTCAAGGTTGTCTTTCTCTGTGTGGACTCCTCTTCAACCTCGGGAATAAATTCCCTAACACCTGTCAGATTTCAGCAGTCCTTCAAGGAACCTGACCCAGACAACCATAGGCAAATTGCCGCCTTTCTCTCACCAAGAACCTCCGGCCCCTCCCCCCACCCTATCCAGCTTTGGGGAAAGGGCTGCCCAAATAATGGCCAGCCCTACAGGAACAAACCCTGAAGATGACTCAGAAAATCCCTTTCCTGAGCCTGTAGCCCCTGGCATTGCCCGTCCCTCCGAGGCTCAGACCCACCTATAAAACCACCTCTGAGGTCAGCCTGCCCCCACCTGCTCCACCCAAAAGAAATGAATCTCCTGAAAATCAGGGTGGAAATACATGCCTCAATGGTCCACAGAGCATATGCATCACGCTATTTTTCCAAGCCCTTACCTTTGACCTGAGTATCGTACTCTGCTATGATCTCCTTATCCTTTTTGAATTTGGCTGGAGACGTCATGTTTTCCTTCTTTCTTCCAAATTCGAATTGTGAATTGATAGATCCACGGGAAAAATCCAACCACCGAAATCAATACCTCCAAGACCGCTTCTCCCCAGGGCAGAAGGGGCCCCCCGCGGTGGTCTCCAGCGCTCCGGGGAGCGCGGGGCTGCGGGCTGGGCAGGCGGCTACGGCGGGCACATGCAGACGGTGGGCGCTGGGGCCGGGCGCGGCAGCTGGTTCCTGTGCTAGAGCCCAAGCAGCAGGCTCAGCATTAGCCGGGAGAACTGCAGGGCCCGGAGGCTGGCCTGGGGTCTGACATCAACGACACAGGCTGGGAGTGCAAGTCCTTCCGCACAACATGGTGTGGAGGGTGCGGGGGTGTGGACGCGCCCAGCTGTGTCCTCGGGAGGGAGTGGGTGCCTATCTGGGTGCCGGGGGAGGGATGGGCGTGCTTCGCGGTTTTTGTTGCACAGGCTCGAAGATGCCGCAAATCAAATCCCAAACGGGAGCCGCAGCAGCACGGACTGGATCGGAAGTCGTTTGCTCCGGTTCACTTGCCTGTAAATGCAGGGAAAAGGGGAGGGGGCGATCAGCCCCGGCACAGATCCTAATCGCTGCAAGGGTGGGGTAGGGGACGATGTTCCCACCCCAGCCCCAGCCCATTCATCTCCGAGAAACGCCACCCGGCCGGAAGAGCTCCGCGCGGTTGACGTGGGGAAGCTCCCTCTGGATTTTGTTTTAAAGCTGAAAGACAACACTTCGGAGCAACCGCCCGAGCTGGCTTCGGGTGGGGACTGCGGCGGGAACGCGGGGCTCCGGGCGGGGACTGCGGCACCTCGCCGGGCCTCTCAAGCCCCGCCAGCGCTGGGCAGCAGCCAGCCGTAGGGTGCCCTCACTGCCCAGCCTCCGACTCGGCCCCTGACCCCCGGCGAGGCAACTCCCTGGACATCAAAGGGGATCAAAGCCGGGGAGGGACAAGCCACCCGGGCACAACTTTTCTTCCCCTCCTGCCCCTCCTCCCAGTTGTTTTGTTTTTGGTTACTAGCTTCTCTTGGCAGCAAAATGTTGAGGGTGGGAGGGGGAAGTGTGTGAGGGGGGGAGATCTGCAGGAAAAAGCCTGCTCGGCACGGGACACATCCAGGAAAACAATGTGGTCGGCAGAAGCAGGAAACGGGTTAGAAACGAGGGTCGGAGTCGGGAAAACCGGGAGGCGGGGGTGGTGGGGAGCGGGTGAGGAAGGCAACCGTCGCCTGCCCCAAGCCAAGGATGAGAGACTCTAAATGCTATCCCCAACATTTTTTGTCACCCAAACCCCAAGATCCCAGATACCGCACCCAATCCCGGGTGTGGGGGCGGGGTGGGGGTGGTCGTGGAGAGTCGCAGTCCCGACTCCTCGCACCAGGAGGTGCCCGAGGAGATCCCGCCCCTGCTCTAGCCCAGGAGGCGGGAGGAAAGCCGGCGGGAGCGCAGAGCCGCGCGCCTCGCTCCCCGGCGTGCCGCAGCTGCCATCCTCACTGCTTGGCCGCTCCTTTCCCTCTCTGTGCCGGGAGGAAGAGGCTCTCGCCGGTGTCTCCCACTGCCCGCTCCCGGAGGAAGGGCCGCACGGAGCGAGGAAAAAGGAGAAGGGACGGCGAGGTGGTTCGGGCGGGCAGGAAGCGGGGAGGGAAAAAGAAGGGGTCTTGAGGCTGCACGGGAACCGAGGGTAACTAGAGCTGCCGCACACGCTTGTAAGACGGGGAGAGGGCGAGGGGAGGATTACCTTCAAGGTGGAGGGAGAGTTAGAAAATTATCATGGGCCAGTGTGTTACATGGAATGCAGGGATGTTAGCAACTTTGGGGACCCACATTTTGGGTCTGGGAGTGCGAAGAGGAGCCGTTCCGGGCGGGCCGGGGGCTGGGACCCGGCACTAGCCCCGGAAGCAGTGCGGCACACCCATCCCGGGTCCAGGGCTGTAACCCAGCTGTCTGCCAGGGCTTGGAGACAGGTTTAAAGGGCAGCCCGTGGTTTCGGGTGATGCCAACGACGGCTGCCCCAAGTTGGACCAAGGTTGCCCCAGTGCAGAGGACTTGGGAAGGGGGCTGGGTACGGGTTGTGCGGCGGAGTACGAGCCAGGGCACAGCCCCAAGCGGTGCGGTGAAGGGCGGAGAGAGACGCAGTCCTGACAACTATTACGGGCTGTACCCGAAGTTTTGGAGAAGGTCTCGAGGGAGGCGGTCTGAGAGATTGCGGGGGAGGGGGTCACAGGGATTACAGGCATCACCGCTAAAGCAATGCAGCAAGCAGCATCCGCGCCCTCTCCTTTCCGCCCCAGCCCAGGTTTGTTCTGTCGGGGCTGCAGCCCCGCGGCCGGGAAGAAGAAAGGGGAGAGGGAGGGAGCCTTTACCTGGCTCTGACGCGACGGGTCCCAGGCCCCCGGGTCCGCTTTCCACTTAGAGTTCGCCTCCCCTCTCGTCCCCGCCACCCGCTCCTACGCAGATTGGTCCCCTAGTCCCTGCGGGAGCCTCGGCCAACTCCGCAGGACCCCGCCGGGAAGCGGAGCCCACCCCTTTGCCAATCACCGCCCGCTTGCTATCGACCGATGGGGCCTGTAGCCAATAGGAACAGCAGATCCTGAGAGTCCAGGAACGAGGAGGAGGGACTGGCTAAACTTCGAGCAGTGACTACCAGTACTGAGGCACAGTCACGGAGTAAGCTCCTCCCCCGGCGGCCAAACCCTAAAGTAGAATTAATGGGCGGGAATAAGTTGGCACTAACAACCAAACACAAATTCTTGAGGAAAGGTACGACCAATTGGACAGGGGTGAGGGGAGGGGCGTTGCGGAGAATTTTAGCCAATAGAGAGTGGAGACTTGTGTGGAGTGCAGATCGTCTTCCAATAAGAAGCGCGGGGGGTGTCTTGCCTCTTTCACTGGGAAGGCCCGCCTAAACCTCCCGGAACCCACCAATGAGATTGGTAGTGGGGCCACGCTAGGCCAACCAGAAAGTCGAAGTGACCTCGGCACCGTTACTGGGGCGGGGCGTGTGGCCTCCTCACCACTAAGATCTCATCAGGGGCTCCCGAGCCTTCCAATGTGGGACGTGGGCGAGCTCTAGCTCTCCCAATCGGTGTGCGGCGCTGGAAATTCAAACTGACAGACGGTTGGGAAAGCAGAGAGAGCGGAAGAGGGGGCAAAAAACGACGTGTTCGGTGACAGAGACCCCAACGCAGACTGAGCCCCCAAAAGCGACCTCCGTCCCGCCCCACCATCTCCACCGCACGTTCTGGAGCGGCCGCTCCGAGAGAGACCTGTGGGGAAAGCTGGGGGCACGAGGGAGAACTGAGGGGAGGGGGACGCGAGAGCCGGCACGCTGAGGGCTGAGGGCTGCGGGCAGAGGGCTGCTGGGAGAGAAGCGTAGCGGGGTCGGAATAACGAGCCGAGCGGAGGTGGGTCGCGGGAGAACTGAAGAGAAGCAGGGATCGTCCGGGTGGGAGGAGCTCAGGGGATTTCCGTATCCTGGGAAGAGGAGAAAGATTTCCAAAGAGGAGGCGTGGAGACTTAGGTAGGGAGACTTAGTCTGCGATCTGACAGAAAGGAATTCGACTTCTTGGAGGGAGGGGCTTAATAAAGGAGAAGCTTTAAAAGAGGTTGTACTGGACACGCTTAGGGAATTGCTAAAGGGGCGGGAGCTAGAGTAGAGGATCCTTTTAGATGGGAGGCAGGGAAAACGGTGGAGAAGTTCCCGAGGCTAGCTGAAGCTCGGCCCTCCCCATTTCAAACTCCACTCCTTCCCCGGAAAGTTAAAAGGGAAGCCAAGATTGCAGCTGCTCTACCTGTTCCTGCTCTCCCAGGGGAAAACAGAAAAGAACTCTTTTCCTTCCCAATTTCGGGGCTTAGAAAAGCGTGGGGCCCCACAATAGTATTTTTTGCCTAGGGGAATCAAATTAGGAAGGGTCTTGCTCCTGTTTCCATTTTCAAAATCCCACCCCTCATCCTTCCTTGGACGCCATGTCTACCAGCAGTTGTAGTTTCAAGGACCGGTACGTGTCCATTCTGTATTGCAAATTCTGTAAACAAGCGCTCAGCTCTAGGGGAATGAAGGCTGTTTTGTTGGCTGATACTGAAATAGACCTTTTCTCGACAGACATCCCTCCTACCAAGTAAGTCATGCTAGTGGCGGGCAACGGTAGCCTTTAACTAAATGGGAAAATCTGATGGCTTGGACCTCTGGGAGTCAACAAGGAGATTATTATTTTGGTGTTCCAGCCACTCCCACCAGTCTGATGAACCCCTTGGAGTAGAACTAAGTGGGCAGACTGTCTGGACAAAGTCTGTGGTTAGGCCAGAGTGGTCGGTCCTGATGTAATGCTTCTAGTCACGTGACCACGTCCCTTCCGCTGGATCCCTGGCACTAAGCCCTGCCCGGCGATCCTACCTCCCTGGATCCAGGCCGTGATCTCGACACCGGGGAAGTTCAGGGAAGCTTTCCTGTACTGTGAGAGAGGTCAGGTTTTTCGTTTTCATCCATAGTTTCACACCAAAAAAGTCATAGTTTTCAACCATTATTTGCAATTGACATGCTGAATTAGATTGTTCATATAATTCAGTATTCTTTTCTCAAGAATTTCTCTTTTTCTGAATGAGAGATTAGATTTTTATGGGGTGGAAATAGAGACAGCCCTAAAATAATCCTTTTCTCCCATAAGGCCTATTTTGGATATCACGCAATCACTTGTGTAATTTAATGCTTTTAAATACTGTTTTCAGTCACTATCCAATTTCTGGTGTAGAGCTTTTAAGAACTTGCTTTCTACTTGGAAAAATAACCGTTTTATTTGACTCAGATATACCTTTTTCTAGCCCTAAAAGGTAATTTCTCTTTCCGTAGTCAACATAGCCCTTACATGATTTTCAAGATTTAGCTCTTTATTGAATCTTTATCATTAAAATCAAAGAGAAATTATCCAAAATACGAGTTAATAACTATTCTTTGAACACAAGCCAGAGGAGACAGGCTAATAGTCATAATACTTTAAAATGAATTTCATTATAATGATAGAAACTTAAAAAAAAAATTCAATATAGTGAAAGCTAAGAACCCTTCCTCCTTTGAAATCTTTCTGAATTGGTTCAAGCATAGTCATGACTAATGACAAAGCCACATATTGCAGAGATAAATAGATTAATATTAAGTATGTGTGTGTGTGTGATGCGATGCAAAAAAATGCACTAGACAATAAATATGGAACCTGCTATTGCAAAGTTCCTATGAGTAAAATATTAACCCATTCATCTTTACAATAGTTTTCATAAGTAATAAGACAGTCACAAGGAGGGCTGAGGTATGTTCATTGTTAGAGGTTAGACTAGAGTCTAGAATCAAGTCAGTTCTTTCCTATTGTCTTTGCTTTATTGTAGGGGTTATAATAATATGGATTAATGTGTATGAATTGATGAACACAAGCAGTTTGTCATATTATGGCAAGCTCACAAATATTAACTGACTTAAAAATATACTATAGTTCCCCTTCAGACTCTTTTCAGTCTTTGGGCCTATAGAATTCATACTAAATCACAATCAAAAAAATATTTGATAGCAAGGATATGGAAAAATTGGAATCCACATGCATTGTTTGTGGGAATATAAAATGGGCTGCTGCTATGGAAAAGCATGGCAGTGCCTCATAAAATTGAAAATAGAATTACCATATGATCCAGCATTCCTGGGTATATATCCAAAAGAATTCAGTGCAGGACCTAAGTAGAGATATTTGCACATCCATGTTCTTAGCAGGATTATTCACAATAACCAAGCAGTGGAAGCAACCCAAATGTCCATCAATAGATGAATGAATAAACAAAATGAGTTATATGCATACAATGAAATATTATTCAGCCTTAAAAAGGAAGGATATCCTGTCACATGCTACTATATGGTAGGACCTTGAGGACATTATGCTAAGTGAAAATAGGCCAGTCTCAAAAGACAAATATGACATGACTCTACTTATATGTGGTATCTAAAGCAGTCAAATTCATAGAAACAAAAAGTATGATGATTGTCAGGGGCTGGGGGAAGAAGGTAATGGGGAATTGTTATTTAATGGGTATAGAGTTTTCATTTTACAAGATGGAAAGGGTCAGGAGATTTGTACAACAATGTGAATATACTTAACAGTTCTGAACTATAGACTAAAAATGGTTAAGTTAGTAAATTTTATGTGATATGTATTTTACAATTTTAAAAACATACATTTGACTCTACACTTTCTCCTCTCCAGCACAGTGGACTTAATTGGAAGATGCTATTTCACTGAAATTTGCAAATGTAAACTGAAGGACATCGCATGTTTAAAATGGTATTTATGGCAATATTCTAGATAGCCCTGGGTTTGGGAGATGGATGTTGACACCAAAGCAGACACAAAGGTTCAGTGAGCTGCATTGAACTCTGGTTATAATCTGTGCAAAGAGCCATTGAAAAAACATTTTTTACTTAGAGCTATTTTTTTAAGGGTCTTGTGACACTTTAAATTTGTAAATAATTTTACAATTTTAAAAAATTCATTGACAAATATATTTTTTAATTTTTAGAAAACGGCAGTGTACTTTAGAGGGAAAAGACACTTGGATTTACAGTTACAAAAATCAAACTTGAGCCCTCGCTCTACCCTTATTCTGTATGTGATCTTGAATAAACTCCTTAAACCTCTAAACCTCTAAAACTGTTTCCTTATTTAATTTATATCTTAAGAAGATAAACTTGAAAATATAGGAACTATCTTCTTAAGATAGAAATTAAAATACCTTTGGTGTTTGCCTTATAGAGATGTAAAGATCAAATGAATTAGGAATGTTAAAAGGTTTGATAAACTAAATTGCAACACAGATCAAAGCTATCACTATTTTCTTTTGAGAGGTAATTTGAGTGTTACTAGTCCATTTTAGAAGTTGAGATTTTCTCATTTAAATGGAGTTTGCATTATAAATTGTAATCTTAACAATTTAAGTTAGCAACCTCTTCTTTTGTGCTAACGACTTTAATTTTATTCATTCATTGATTCAAACTGTATAAACAGGCCCTCCAACCAGGTGCTAGTCATTGTTATAGGGGCTGAAAACAACAGTAAACAAAACAAAGACACTGGTCTTTGGGCATTATATTTTAATAGGAACACAATCAGTCAATAAGATATTTAAATAAATGAGACATTGAATACGCCAAGAAATGCTCCAACGGAAATAATAATAATGATAGAGAATCACAGAGGTTGGGAGAGTAGGTAAAAGCAATTTTTGATTGCATAGTCAGGGAAGACTTCTCATGAGAGGGTAACAAGTATTGAATCCTAAAGGATGAGAAGGAGACAGAAAGAATGTTCTAGGCAGAGGGAACAAGTTCAGAGACCCCAAAGCAAGACGAAGCTTAACAAGTTCAAGGAATAAAAAGATTGATGGCAGTGTGGCGGAGACATTGTGAACAATCTGGGGAGAGTAGTATGAGCAGATTAGAGATGTAGTCAAAACACAGATAATCAATACAAGTCGCATATTGAATTTAAAATTCTCCAGTAACCACATTTTTAAAAGTAAAAAGAAACAGGTGAAATTAATTTTAACCATGTATTTTATTTAACTCAATATATCCAAAATACTGTCATTTCAACGTGTTATTAATGAAATATTTTACATTCTATTTTTTATTCTTTGTCTTTTGAGTCTGGTATATGTGTTATACTAAACAGCACATTTCATTTCAGGCTGGCCAAATTTCATGGGTTCAATAGCCGCATTTGGATAATGCAGCTCTAAACCTTGGTATGAAGTGGTGTACTATTTGTTTTCATTTTTGGCCAATGAGAAGCCACTGAAGGGGTTTAAGAAGGGAGCAAAATGATCTGCTATGTCCCTACTAGAATATTAGCTCCATGAGAACAAAAACCTTGTCCACCACTATATTCCTAGCACCTAGAATAGTACCTAACACAGAATCCAAGCTCAATAAACATTAGTTAAATGAATGAATGAATGAACGAATAAGGGTAGTAATTAAAGCCATAGAATTTACTCTTGCAATAAGTCTTACAAATAACTGTCAGTCCAAGAATAACTGTAAGATTAGAAGACATATCTTAGGTGGGCTGCTACCTTTTACATAGTATTTTTGTAGAGCCTCACAAAAATGACTGACTCCCACCTCTTACTGGGTGAGAAATAATAAGAATTTTTACAACTCAAGGTATAAGCAGTTCATGTTGTCATTTAAAAAAAGAAAAAAGTGCACCCTGTCTGGTGTGGCTCAGTGGATTGAATGCTGGCCTGCAAACCAAAGAGCTACTAGTTCGATTCCCAGTCAGGGCATGTGCCTGGGTTGCAGGCCAGGTCCCCAGGTGGGGGCATTCAAGAGGCAACCAAACATTGATGTTTCTCTCTCTCTCCTTCCCTTCCCCTCTAAATAAATAAACAAACAAACAAACAAACAAATAGATTTTTTAAGTGCTAACTAAAATATCCCCTGTATGTTCACTCTACTTAGTAGTAACCATGTAAGGAAACAAAATTCTGTGGAAGAGTAAAGTACTTATAATCAGAGGCATAATCCTGAAGACAGTAAAAACTTTTGCAACTTTCTCTAGAGGCTGTGGATTTGCTTTTTTTCTGAATTCCCTCAAAAACACTGAAGATAAAATTAGAGCAGCCAGCTTGTGTTTGGTTTACAGGGGCTCTTGCTATCTTCCTATTCTTCCATATGTTGAAACAGTTTTTAGGTGCTGGAATGGAACTAGGACATATAAGAGCCCAGCTTGCCACCATTCTGGGGATAGCAAAAACCTTTTACCCACAGATCTGAATTTATTTAAAATATTTCGTGTGAACAGCATATCAATTTGGGGTGCTTTACAGAACAAATTACAAACTTATGCCATCTAGAAGCTAGCTTCTGAAGCGAAAATGCATAAAATAATACTAGCAAAGAATTGGAGGATGTGTTTGTATTATTTCACTTACCTTAAAGACTATTTTCCCACTTGACAATAGAAATGTAATCATTATTAAAGTAACTCGTATCCCAAAGATCCCAGCAATGAAGGATGTTAGGAGGAAATAGGGTCTTTATATCATCTATTTACATTAACACATAAAAATGCTTACATGGCCAGGTATTATACAGCATCTAACAATATTTACTTTCTTTTTTAGTGGGAACATTGTAGGTTATCATGTGATTGTTCCATGTTGTTCCTGCCTGCTTTCTTGTAACAACGGACACTTCTGGATGTTTCACAGCCAGGCAGTTTATGGTATTAACAGACTAGACTCCACTGGTAAGAAACAATTGACTCAGACATTCCTCTAACATTTGTCTATCACTATCTGAGTGAAACTCCCAGTAGATCATTTTAGTATTACCTCTGAAACCTTCTTACCTTCATTGGCTCCACTAGAGTAAAACGTTAATCATTCACTTATGGATACTACTAACCAAAACGTTAAACATTAAACATTCACTTATGTTTATACAATGACCATTGGCCATTTGCCAAAATAGAAATTTCATTGCCATTTCTAGTTTGGTCATTGTATTCAAGAGCCTTAAACTTGGCTGGATTTCTTGGGCCTTTTTAAATGAATACTTTAATTGCTCTAAATTGCTGCCTTGATACATATTATGACTCCAGAGAACTATGGAAGATTTGAGATTTAATAGTCAAGTGTGTGTGTAAGAAAGGGAGGGTGGGGAGCTGGGAGGAGAAATGATAGGTAACTTCTGTAGTTGGTATATTGCTTTAAGATAAAAATGGACATTTTGACATCTGTATTAATAAATTATGATGGGATTTTAGTCAAAAGAAATATTTAATACCAATGTGTTATATTAATTATTTAGTAGGAAAATATACAGCCAATTCTTAAAAGATATTTAAATAATATATTTTGTATTGTCTAGAGTCATTCAGTTTTGTTACAGAACACATGTTCTCAATGTCTAATACCTATTTACACAACAGACCAACTTGACATTTAGTGAGACTTTTTTAGTGGGAATTAAAATTTATAGAACTTTGTTTTATGGAACAAGTTTAAAGATCTTGACAGTCCAAGTTGATACTAACACTCAGGTTTTTTAATGTTTTAGTCTTTTTCATAACTTAAAATATATTCCTTTTTTAAAAGTATGATTTGCCTTAAAGACTAAATAAAAACATATCACAAATTGTAAACTAGGTTGTCAGGATCTTTAAACCCTCCAATTATGGTTGGGTTTTTATAGACTCTGATTTTTTTTTTTTTTTTTAATCACCTGGCATTTAATTGTGGCTCTCAACCATTTGGGGGCTCTTAATTTAAGATTCTAGTATGTTAAGAAGGACATTTTTGAGCAAGGACTTACCTGAACTTCCCTAGGTGAGATACAAGCTCCTAATTTAGGTTTCTAGTTTTATATTTGTGTTGCTTATGGGACACATTAAAGGAAGTTTCTGCTTTGATATTTTTCCTGCTTCATGGAATTTAAAACACAGGGTGGATATTTTTTAATTTTGATTTACTTTTTAATATTGGTCAGTTTTTCAAAGATAAAAGCCTAGCATTCTCCCATTTGCATTGAATCTAATCCACTAGAAACAGATGTATCACAGGATTTCCTTCCTTAACAGAAAAAGGAAGGTGCTGCTTCTGTCAGATCCAATCTCTTAGTTTATTTTTTCTTCTTTGAACCAATTGTGCTGAGCTACTCATGTCTCTGCGTATTGACTCCAAGAATATCAAACTTCTCCGTTGTAACCCTAATATTGTGATTAAAAGCAGGATTTTCTGGACGCTTGGTATAAAACAGGGTTTCTCATGGCTGTTGGAACTGTCCTTGAAACACCTGAATCAGCAGCATCAAAGGAATACAAACACAAGCTTTAAAATTCTAGAGTGTTTAGACTGAAAGGGCCCCAAGAAGTCTATGTTCTAGGCTAGCCTATACATGTAGCCCTGATTTCCCGAAACTTTTCTGAGGAAACTTGGGAAACCTCAGTTCAGATTCACTGGGTTTGGCAAATGCCCTCAGACGCAAATTTATTTCAGCTCTCCATTGACTTTTATGGGTTCTAATTGTTCCTTACATTCAATGCATATTACCAGAAGCAAAACACCATTTATTCCTGGGAAAAAGGTGTTTTTTATTATAAACAGTTCAAACACACACACAAAATTACAGAAAATAATATGATAGGCTTCTATATGCATAAAATAGTTGCTAACTTCTTGCCTGATTAGATTCCAGTATCTCCACCAAGAGAGACAGTTGATAGTTTCCACTGTTTCAACAGTGCAAACAGTGCACATTCTTGTATGTGTCTCCTTGGGCACCTGCTCCAGATGGGCAGTTAGAGGAAAGGATGAGTGATGGGCCATATTTGCAATGTATTTAATTTTTTTAAATTCACACAGTGGAATACTTTACAGAAATGAAAGGGAATGAGCTAAATCTTGCACATGTGGACATAGGTAAATCTCAAAAATACATTTAATGAAAAAGCAAATTAGAAAATATACATATAATGGCACATAATAAAAATTTAAATATATAAAACAATAATATATATAGTCTGTGGTTGCATACATTTGTAGTAAAGTAGTAAAAACATCCATGGTGTACTGGTAAGTGATGGAAACTAAATTCAAACCAAATTTCCAAATCCTGGCTCATTTCCATTCCACTCTGTGGTCACGGTGTTGGCATGTGTGGAGTGAGTATCCAGACTTGCTGAATTCTCCTTGTGCCCACACTGCTAACTGGACAGCTTGAGATCTGCTTTCTTGTTGGACTTCATTGGCTCTTCTAAAGGTGAATTTTTTCAGATTAGTGCTTTCAAGTTATAATATAGTACATGCTCAGAATAAACCATCTCATTATCCTTTACCATATATGCAGTCTTATTCTATATATTAATACCAGTGCTAGATTCTTTTATATGAACTCTTGACTGTCCTTTCACAATGAGGGTTTAGATGGTTGCTAAATTTAGTATATTGACTGCTACCACCTGGTCTGAAGTTTACAATTTTACCTTCACAGCCTCTAGACTAAAATCCACATATATCAAGGATTATTCATATTAAAACTGGCTCCAGAACCTTGCTTTTTTTTTAATCAGAAAAAAGGCACCAGCTATTTCCATGTTTGTTGAAGAGATGAGACTTATTCAGGTCTTTTCCCTGAACCCTCCAAAGAGACACTTAATCTAAAAGGATCTTGTGTGATCTCCATTCTCAAAACTCATTAAAATAGATTGGAAAAAGTATCATTGGAAAGTTATTATTGCATAATGTAGCTGGCGGCAGGGTTTGAGTAAATGGACTCCTAAGTACCTTTTGCAAGATTCTAGAATTCAAGGTCTTACTTAAAAAGGATTTGTCCTACATAAATAATATTATATAATTTTATCTGTGGTACATTATTTCATAGCTTTTCTCTTTACTGCTAACACTATGTTTTAATAGAAGAATGTTAGCATAAAAGGTTTCATCTAACAGTAGTTGGCACCAAATAATTTTATGAATTTTTATTTTCAGGTGTTAACTTCCTACTTTGGGGCAACTTGCCAGAGATAGAAGAGAGTACAGATGAAGACGTGTTAGATATCTCAGCAGAGGAATGTATTAGATGAATAGAATTGTGATAGATAAAATATTGAAACATTTTACTATTTAAACTATACATTAATGGATCAACTTTAAAATTTTTAGTAAGGATTTTCTAGTGATTGCTTTTTTTGGAACACAAAAATTGGGCATTTGTTGATTTATTTATTTGCTGTCTTAATTACCTGAATTTAATTTGAGCCAATGTAGTTCTTTTCTTCTACTTATACTTCTTTTTCTTCTTCTTTCTATTCCTCTACCCAATAAAAATTTATTCTTAAGTTCAGAAAGGAGGTCTTTTTTCACATGCCACTTGGCTATGTCCCAATTGGGGAAAGTTTTTTTTTTACAGCTAGATGCCAGGTACCATTATTTTACATTCCTGAATAAGGCACATTAGTACCCACGCATAAGTTCATGTATATAACCATGCATATATATGTGACGCTCAACTTGGAATTAAAGCTTAACAGAAAATTTTTAAAAAAACAAGCTAATAGGTTTTCATAGGTACTAGTTATCAAATGTTATTTTGATGATGACTCCTTGAATACGGAACAATACTTTGTGAGTCAAGAAATATAATAAATTTTTAAATATATGGAGAAATCCTCTTGATTCTTCAATATGATTTTAAATAAATGAACTTATCAGAATATTACCAATATATACTGTTTACCAATATTATTTATTTACCTTTTAAAGTCATATGGATACTGTATTATAAAAGCCAGATAAACCAAACCTCTGTCTTTGTTATCCCATTCTCTAGGGACTTCTCTGTAAATAGCAAATTTTAGATGTGTAGTCTCAGTCCCAACCCTTAAATGGCGGGGAGGGGGACCCAGAAACTAAAAAAGTTTAAGCCATTGTACAATATAAAGAGAATTTGTTCTTTTTAAAGCTGTATTCAAACCACGCAGAAATAAGAAATTGGGGTAGTGTTGGATTCTGGTTTTATGTATAGCTAAAATCAGTGTATTGATTCAACTAATATTTCTGCTGTAGACATTTTGTCAGTAGTGATACTCAAACAGACTGAGTTGCAGTTTTGTAAATAAAGTTTTGTCCTGAAAATGACCAGCCTTCGTTTAATTTTTTTTATTGTACCCACTTTTTCTATGTAAAAATATAAACATATAGGATATAAGAGCTAACATTTAGTGAGTGCTTATCATGTGTGACGCACTGTTGTAAATGCTTTACATATTTAATTCATTTATTCCATTAGTGGTATGTACTATTATTATTCCTTCTTTACTGATAAGGCAGGTGAGGCACAGAGACCTGAAGTAGCTTGTCCAAATTCACATAACTCGCCAGATTCAAACTCAGACACACAAACTGACTCCAGAGCTTCTGTTCATCTTTATGCTGTTGCCTCAGAGCAACTTCAGATGTTTATCAGCTATGGTTTTATTTAGCCAGAATACATGCTGGATAACAACTACCATGTTATGTGCCCTAGGTGAGGGCCTCAGTGACTAATTTTAAGATTGAGCAAACTCACACTGGATCTTAGGGTAGAAGTTACCTGTGAACATTGACAGAACATTTGATGTAAATCAAGATAAAAGGTGCTCCAGGAAATGCTGTTACTAGTACCTGGGAAACTCTTTCAAAAGTCTTGCACATTGACCATCAGCACTGACAGAAGGTCACCAAAAGAACCAAAGGGGTGAGTAGAACAATTTGGTTTTTGATTTGGGATTTTTTTTTTCTTTAAGCTCTCTTAAAGAATTTCTGAAACAAGATGGCATAATGGATAAAATAAAAAAATATAAATTAATACTACATGATATACTGCTTCAGTTAACCTGTTCAATTAGCAAAGAAAAGCTTAATGCTAAAGTAGAGAATGTGGAAAATTTTAAATTCAACGGAGTTGAATCTGTTTCCTGTTCTGCTCATGCCTGCTTGACTGGGGGGCTTTTTGAAGAGCAAAAGCAAGACAGAGGTGCACTGATTGAAACAGGTCCCAAATGTGATTCCACTCCAGCTGGAGAATATTTCAAATTACCCAGCTACCTTTTGGCAAAATGGGTTATGAGAAGGGCAATTCTAAGCCTAAAATGGATTATTAATGTTTTATTTAGAGAAGCATATTCATGACACTGTTTTTTAATAAAACCAAGTTACATTCTCCCTGGTCCAAAGAAAAGAGCAAAATCACAAGTGTGAATTTGGCATACACTTTCTAATCCTAGCATAATTTCTAGGAGTAGAAAACTCATTTATGTTTTGGTTCACTTCTAGTATTTGATTCAATCCAACAAACCTGTATTATGCTCCTCTGGTGTACCAAGAATTGCACGAGGGCAGGCTCACACTTGCCTTCATTGTATATGCAGTAGGTTGGGGAGAGGATAGAATCTCTAATGCATTGGGTTAAGTGATTTAACAAAGGCATGCTTAAAGTTCAGTGATTCCACAGATGAAAGAACACTCATCCTGAGTAGTAGGAGAGAGTGGGAGTTGAGAAAACTACAGAGAAGAAATGATACTTGAGTCAGGCCTTGAAGCACACAGGGGTTTGCCAGCTGGGGTGAGAGTCCTAAAGAGAAAATAGTGTAAAGAAATGGACCAGAGTTTACAAGTATCTGGCTTATTTGGTAAATTATAAGTGGTCCCCTATACCTTCCAAGAGATGTAATGAGAAATTAGACTACTGGTCAGGATGGCAGTGTAGGCAGACATGGCTCACCTCTTCACACAACCACATCAAAATTACAACTAAAATATAGAAAAACCATCACTCAGAACCATCTGATCAAGTTGAATGGAAGTCTGACAACTGCGGAACTAAAGAAACCACATCCATCCAGACTGGTAGGAGGGGTGCAGACGTGGAACAGGCTGGTTCCACACCCACATGTGGGGATTAAAATTTGGGGAGGAATATCTCAGGAGTGAGGAGTACGAGCCCTATCCAAGTTCCCCCAGCCCAGGGTTCCAGTGCCAGGAAGATAAGTCCCTATAACTTCTGGCTACAAAAACCAGCAGACATTGAGTCAGTGGAAGAAACTGCTGGAGCCCCAAGCAGTTCCTCTTAAAGAACCCACACATGAAGCCACCTACTCAGACTCATTCCTTCTGAGCTCCAGCACTGACTGGGGTAGCAGCTTGAAAGTCACCAGTGGTATACAGGGAGAAACTGAAGTATTTGCCATCAAGGAGAATAGGGGCCATTGTCCCTTTTCTGAGCCCTCCTCCCACAGAGCTGGCAAGATCTGGTGCCATATCTGAGACTGCATAAACCTGGCTCACACTATCTGACCCACCTTGGAGATCCCCAGAGACTGCCCCACCCAGCTTATAGCCCACCCAAGCTGCTTTTCCATTTGAATGGCCAGTCTTGGCTCCAGCTGCACAACTTCCTAAATCCTCTCAATCAAGCAACAGCTGGCTTTACTGAGCCCCAGGCCCAGAGCTAGCAGCAGCCAGCCAAGATTCACAGCTTGGTTTTGCCTGGGAATCTCCAAGCCCAGGCACAAGTAGCAGACAACTCAGATTGCTTTATAGTTCAGGCAGGATCCCCCAGGCAAAACACAGAGGGGGCTGACCTTGGCCATCACTCTGGAAACCTCAGGGCCAGCACACCTGTAGACAGCTACAGATCACATAGGAGCACCACCACCCTGCCCCTGCACAGTTGATCCTCCATGGAGGGTAGAGGATTGTGGTCAGTGGTCACAACCAATCCTTGCAGCTGACTGGCCTGGGTAAATCCCTCCCATTGACCTGCCAACAGCAACCAAAGCTCAACTACAAGAGGGGGGTGTATTCAGCCCACATGAAGGGCACGCCTTGAGTACCCAGCTTGGGGGAAAGGGGAAACTATACCACTGGACTCTACAGGACACCTACTACATTAGGCCACTCTACCAAGACATGGAGTGAAAACAGCTCTACCTAATACATAGAAACAAACACAGGGAGGCTGCCAAAATGAGGAGGCAGAGAAACATGGCCCAAATGAAAGAACAGATCAAAACTCCAGAAAAAGAATGAAACAAAATGGAGATATACAATCTATCAGATGTAGAGTTCAAAACCCTGGTTATAAGGATGCTCAAGGAACTTAGTGAGGACCTCAACAGCATAAAGAAGATCTAGTCAGAAATGAAGGATACACTAATTTAAATAGAGAACAGTTTACAGGAAAACAACAGTAGAGTGGATGAAGCTGAGAATCAAATCAATGATTTGAAACATAAGGAAGCAAAAAACAACTAATCAGAACAAGAAATTCCAAGAAAAAGGAATAAAAAAAAATGAGGATAGTATAAGCAGCCTCAAGAGGACAAACATTCACATTACAGGGGTGCCAGAAGAAGAAAAGTACGAGCAAGAAACTGAGAAATTTGCTTGAAAAAATAGTGAAAGAAAACTTCCCTAATTTGGTGAAGGAAATAGACATACAAGTCCAGGAACCACAGAGAGTCCCAAACAAGACGGATGTAAAGAGGCCCACTTCAAAACACATCATAATTAAAATGCCCAAGTTTAAAGATAAAGAGAGAATCTTAAAAGCAATAAGGGAAAAGCAGTTAGTGACCTACAGCAGAGTTCCCAAAGATTGTCAACTAGTTTCTCAAAAGAAATTTTACGGGCTAAAACAGACTGGCAAGAAGTACTCAAAGTCATGAAAAGCAGAGACCTACAGCCAAGATTGCTCTACCCAACAAACAAAATTATCATTTAGAATCGAAAGGCATATAAAGAGCTTCCCAGACATGAAAAAAACTAAAGGAGTTCATCATCACCAAAACATCATTATATGAAATGTTAAGGGGACTTATTTAAGAAAAAGAAGAAGATCAAAATGAGGAACAGTAAAATGACAAGAAATACATATCTATCAACAATTGAATCTAAAAAACAAACTAAGCAAACAAGAAAATCAGAGACAAAATTATGGATATGGAGAGTGTTCTGATGGTTGCCAGATGGGAAGGTGGTGGGGGAGAATGGGTGAAGAGGAGAGGGGATTAGGAAATACAAATAGGTAATTACAGAATAGCCATGGGGATATGAAGTACAGTGTAGGAAATAGAGTAGCCAA